TGTCTCTCTGCCCCTCCCCCACACTGTTTCAGTCTCTCTTTGTCCCTCTCAAAAATAAATGAACATTAAAAAAATTAAAAGTACGACAACTGAAATAAAATTTACTAGAGAGGCTTGATGGTAGATTTGAATGGGCAGAAGAAATAATCAATAAATTTAAAGTAAATTAATTGAGATTATCCAGTTTTAGAAATAGACAAAAGAATAAAGTAAAACAGATTCTCAAAAACCAATGGAATGCTATCAAGCATAAGGCATATTCATGATATTTCCAGATGTCAAGAAGAGAGAGAGAAAGGTGAAGTAAGACTATTTGAAGAAATTATGACTGAAAACTTCTCAAATTTGATGAAAAATTTATTGACAAATTCAAGAAGCTCAGTGAACTCCAAATATGAAAACCCAAAGAGATTCATACCTAGACAAATTCTAACCAGATTGTCAATGGCCAAAGACAAAGGGAAAATATTGAGAGTAGCAAGAGAGAAACATCTCATGAGGTACAAGGGGTTCCTAGTAAGATTCACAGCCACTTTCTCATCAGAAACAATGAAAGCCAGAGGGCAGTATGAGGATACATTCAAAGTGCTGGAAGAAAAAGATTGTTAACCCAAAGTATTCTTCAAAACTATCACTTGCAAAACCATCTCTAGCAAAACTATCCTTTGAAAATGAGGGAGAAATTAAGACACGTACCAATAAGCAAAGCTGAGAGCATTCATTACTATCAGACCTCTGCATAAGAAATCATAAAAGGGTGGCTTCAATATCAAATGAAAAACCATCAGATAGTAACTCAAACCCAAATGATGAAATAAAGAGTACTGGTAATAGTAACTAAGTAAATTTTTAAAAAGAAGTGAGTGTATTTTTATTTAGAAGTTTCCCCTTTTATAATTAAGTTATTAAAAATTTTATTTGAGTATCGTTGACACACAATGGTACATTAGTTTCAAATGTACAACATAGTGATTCAAAAGATCTATATGTTATGCTATGCTTATCACGAGTGTAGCTACCATCTGTCACAGCACTATTACACTATCATAGAGTATATTCTCTATGCTGTGTATTTTATTTCCAAGATATTCATTTTATGACTGGGTACCTATACCTCCTACTCCCCTTCACCCATTTTGCCCACCCTTCATCCTCCTCTCCTCTGGCAACCATGAGTTTGTTCTCTGTCTTTTATAACTAATTTAAAATATAATTGCATAAGGCAAAGATTGTAAATCTGCTTATAGTCATCTACAACCTAGAGAGGTGTAATTTTTATGACAATAAAAGCACAAAGGAGAGGGGAGATAATGGAGCTGCAGAGGAGCAAAGTTTTTGTACAATATTGTAATTAAGCTGGTATTAATCTGAACCAGATTTTTTTCTTTAAGATATTAGCTGTAATTCCCAGGTCAACCACTAAGAAAATAACTAAAAATATATAGTTAAAGAAACAACAAGGGAATTAACATTGTACACTAGAAAATGCCTACTTAACACAAAAGAATTTAGTACTGGAAAAATGGAGGAATAAACAAAGTATACTGTATATAGAAATAAATAGCAAAATCACAGACATATATCCTAATTTATTAGTAATTACAGTATGCATAAACTAAAACCAAGATATTAGTTTTATTTTTTAAAGTATTTATTTATTTTAAGAGAGAGAGAGAGAGACAGGGCACAAGTGGGGGAGGAACAGAGTAAGAGGGAGACACAGAATCTAAAGCAGGCTCCAGGCTCTGAGCCATCAGCCCAGAGCCTGGCACAGGGCTCAGACCCATCAACCGTCTTATCATGACCTGAGCTGATGTCAGATGCATAACCTACTGAGCCACTCAGGTGACCCATCAAAGAAATTAGTTTCATAGATTAAAAAATAATCCAACTCTGTGCTGTGTATAAGAGACTCATTTAGATTCAAAGACACAAATGCATTAAAAATAAAAATATGTAAAAAGACATATCTTGCAATCAGTAACCAAAAGGGAGTGGGAACAGTTATACTAATAGCAGATAGAGTAGATTATAAGGCAAAGATTTTTACTAAAGGAAAGGAAGGGCATTTTGTAATAATGAAAGAGTCAAGCCAACAAGACAATATAACTATAAACTATATGCTAATATCAGAGCCCAAATTATACAAAGGAAAACTGACAGAATTGGAAGGGCAAGTAGACCACTCAAGAATAATAGCTGAAGACTTCAACATTCACTTTCAATATTTGATAAAACAGTTAGAAGATCAGTAAAGAAACAGAAGACTTGAACAACACTATACACCAGCTAGACCTAACAGTATCTATGGAACATTATCTATACACATTCTTTTCAAGTGCACATGGAACATTTTCCTGGATAGATCATATCTTAGTAAATGTAAATTATACAAAGTATGTTCTCTGATCACATGGAATAAAATTGGAACTCAATAACACATGATATTTGGGAAATTCACAAATATATGAAAATTAAACAATACCCTCCTAAATAACTGGTGTCTCAAAGAAATCATAAGAGGAAATTAGAAAATACTTTGAGATAAATGACATTGTAAACACAACATACTGAAAATTAATGAAATGCAAATAGAATAGTGCTTACAGGGAAATTTGAAGCTATGAATGCTTAAAATAAAAAAGAAGAGAGATGTCAATTTAATGACTTATCCTTCCACTATGAAACATTAGGAAAAACAAAATAATCAAGAAAAAAAGAAGACTTAAATTAGTAAAATCAGTAATGAAAAAGAGAATGTTACTAATGGCCTCAAAGAAGTAAAAAATATATACGTATATGAAGGTATACTAGGACAATAGTATGTTGACAATTAGATAACCTAGATGAAATGGACAAATTCCCTGAAAGACACCCAAACTAGTGAAAGTGCTTCAAGAAGAAATTGAAAATCTCCACATACAGCTAGTATCCAAAATTTATAAGGAACTCACCAAACTCCACACCCAAAGAACAAATAATCCAGTGAAGAAATGGGCAGAAGACATGAACAGACTCTTCTTCAAAGAGGACATCCAGATGGCCAACAGGCACATGAAACGATGCTCAGTGTCCCTCATCATCAGGGAAATACAAATCAAAACCACACTGAGATACCACCTCATGCCGGTCATAGTGGCTAAAATGAACAAATCAGGAGATTCTGGATGCTGGCAAGGATGTGGAGAAATGGGCACCCTCCTACACTGTTGGTGGGAATGCGAACTGGTGCAGCCCCTCTGGAAAACAGTGTGGAGGTTCCTCAAAAAATTAACAATACAACTCCCCTATGACCCAGCAATAGCACTGCTAGGAATTTACCCAAGGGATACAGGGGTGCTGATGCATAGGGGCACATGCACCTCAATGTTCACAGCAGCACTCTCAACAATAGCCAAATCATGGAAAAAGCCTAAGTGTCCATCAACAGACAAATGGATCAAGAAGATGTGGTTCATCTATACAATGGAATACTACATGGCAATGAGAAAGAATGAAATCTGGCCATGAGTAGCAACATGGATGGGACTTGAGGGTGTTAATGCTGAACGAAGTAAGTCAGGCAGAGAAGGACAGATACCATATGCTTCTACTTATAGGAGGATTAGGAGAAACTTAATGGAGGACCATGGGGGAGGAGAAGGGGAAAAATAGTTGGGGAGAGGGAGGGAGGCAAACCATGAGAGATTCTTGAATTCTGAGAACAACCTGAAGGCTGATGGGAGCTGGGGAGAGGGGAAGGGGGGGTGATGGGCATGGAGGAGGGCACTTGTGGGCATGAGCACTGGGTGTTATATGGAAATCAACTTGACAATAAACTATTTAAGAAAAAAATCTCCACATACAAAAAAATAAATAATAAAGAAAAGAATGAGAAAGAAAGGAAAAAAGGCAGGAAAAAACCTCCTGAAAATGTGGTGCTATTTTCATTGGCTTCTTTCTTTAAATGTGTTGTGTGTAATATTTTAAATAAATCATTTGTATTAGTTGAGTATTCTGGTTCATTAGGATCTAGCTAATTTGTGAGGTGACTTCCTTAACCACTGGCCTGTACCATATGGAGGACTACTGAAAGACTTGTCTGTTCTCCTAACACTGGCATCTGCTATCTAGAGAAAAACATGTCCATTTTATGATTGGGAAAGGAATACCATCCTCACACTGGGCTTTCATTTTAAGGAGCTATATCCAAAATTTCAATCAGCTCTTCTTTTCAGTTTTATTGTTGGTTAAAGCTACGTGAAAACCGATAAAGCACATCTTCCAGTAGCAATTCCTGGTAGCAGCAGGTACGATTTTTTATAGTGACACAAATGGGATATATAGTTCTGATTTAAAGAAATAGTTCATATTTTATATTTGGCTCCCTACAGCACATTTGAAATTAAAGAGCCTGTGAGACTCTACTTAGCACTACTGAGAATACAGTTAGTTACTTTTTCTGAAAACAAAGGCCCCAAACATGGAGTAAATATGGTGTCTGAACTGGAGTATGCTGTTGATAAATAAGAGTTATTAAGTAATATACCATTACTTTCAATGTGCTTCCAAAGACTCTACCATTATTTATTACTTTCCTAGACTTTGAATAGCAACAATGATTAGAGAAATGAACTTGAATATCAATTCAGAAAAGCAGATGATTATCCTCCAGGACAAGTTGTGGGAGTTCTTTTCTCTTGTTTTGTATTTCTATGGCCCTCTAGTGTGACCAGCTAACTGCAGTTGCTACTTTAGTGCTTGGCCAGAAAGCTGTTATATCAATCAATCAAACATATAAATGGGTGAATTAATTAATATTTTTTGTTGAAAACAATGTAAAAGAATTATAGGAAAGCAATTTTGATTTTCAACAGTCCTACTTACAATCTGCATTTAGCAAAACTCTTGACATCAGTTGGGGTTGCTAAGCAATAAGTACCTCTGCTGTGACTCCAGAGTCCCTGGGATCATTCCATTATTTTGTCATTCAAGCATGTCACACAGCTTGATGTGGGCCTCCAATTCCTGCACAGTCAGAAATGAGTGCACTTCCTATGGTAGAAAGGGAATAAATGAAATGGTGGAACAGAGAGATGATTTAAAGACTGGGAAACTAAGGCTATGTAATCCTCAGAATTTGGGGGATGAACTTTTGAAATGAGAGGTAAGTCATGAGCTCAGTGGCTTGATCGCTTTAAAAACACAGGTAATTTTCACACCAAGCAGAAACCCATCACCTCTTGGGAGTACTTGTACTACCTTTGCTATCGTAGAAGCACTCTAGATAAACTATCTTATGCTTTGTAAAAGGTTTTATAGCATTTTCTATTTATCAAAGAGTAGTCCTGATCATTTAATCATCAGATAGAATCCTGACTTCAGTGAAGCTAGGAAAGGCTGGGGAGAGTCTTGTGCAAATTTACAGATTATGACATTAGGCAGACTAGTTTTAGAAGACCCCAACTTTTAGAATGGTTTGTAATTACTTATATAAGGGCAACTGTTCTTTTTCTGCTTTAAGTTTTCATGTCAATGCTTGATTCTGTGGGAATACTTTGCTGACTCTGTCTCATGATATGGGCACACTTATTTATTTCTACATTTTTTACATAGGAAAAGGAGAATGTTTCCTTTCATGCTGATTTACTGAGGTGTTTGAAAATGGATGAGATTTCACCTGAGTTATGAGGATAAAGAATATTAAGACATGTAAATTTTTCTAAGCCATCAATCAAAATCTTGAGTATCTTTCTAAAATTAGTACTGGATCCTTTGGAAGAATTAACTTATATTACATAGCATAGATAGGCCTTGAAGAGATGAATTTAACCATATTAGATAGGACTGAGATGAAAAAGAATATAATTCCCCCAGCTCCTTGACTGTGGTTCTGAGGTTAGTTTTCTAACATATAAAATACTGGGGTTGACATACATAATCTTAAAGGTCATATTCAATTTAAAAACTTTCTCATTTTGAATATAGGAACTGAAGCAAATAAGTTAAAGTAGTTTTATCTGACATATTCAGTCAAATCAAAGAGGAGGAAAACCTGCTCCATGACTATTTGATTACCTCTATTTATAACATGTTTTAATTTGTTTCAAGATGGTGTGTCAACAAATAATCTAAAGTCATTATAATTCATATATTGCTCAGTAGTCAGTGTATACATAGAGAAGTAAAGCGTATCCATAGAGTGAAATGACCAAGAAGAAAAGTGACCTTCTCAAGATCACATAGTCAGAAAGTGTGAAGTCAAGTTTCAGATCTGTTTCTCTGATAACCAAGCCACAAATTTTTTCACAGTATAACATTTTCCATTTTATAAGGAAATATATTCCGGTATACTTATTTTTCAACTGATGTAACTGAGCCTCAGAGTTGTAAAGTGACTTATTTACCCCAAGGATGACAACAGAATGAAGACAAGAAACCACATTCCCTGACTTCCATCCTGATATTCTCTCTACTTATATCAGCCAGATTCATAGCTAATCTTCATTCTTATCTGTGCATTCCATTTTGAAAGATAAATATTTAAGGAGAAGGAGAAACAAAAGCATCAGGATTTAACAATACTTTTAAACTAAAAATTTGGACTACTTTCTTAAATTATTCAACCTTGAGTTCCTTATGGTTAATGATTTTTACCACCCTTTTAACAGTAACACAGAAGTCTACTGGCTTGTCAGTCCCTGATTATAAGAAGGCAGGACCTCAGCCTTATCTTCCTTCTGTTACTTTATGATGCCTTGAAAGGGCTAAAAATTACATCTGTTTTGTCAGTTAGAGTAACTGTGGATGATAATGTACTGAGCACTTATTATGTGTGAGGCATTGTGCTGTGCTTTCTACAGGCTATCTTATTGTATCCTTGCAATAACCACATACCATAGGTGTTTTAGTGCCCTCATTTGACAGGTGAGGAATCTGAAGCACAGTGGGGCTTCAAGTTTTCAAAGCCACCAAGTGGCAAAGCCAACTTTTGAACTGAGGCGGTCTGACTCCAGAGCTGATGCTCTTACTAGTGAAACTCCACAGCAAACCTACTCTTCCTCTGTTGTTCCATGTACTGCATATCCCAGTTTATGGCAAAAAGAGTCACTTGAAAAAGCTTTGTCACTCCCTTTTAGGGGATGTGATAACGAGTGCATGTCAAGTTTCCAATTTCCAGCCAACAATGGGTTCTATTCCATGACTCCAGCTTATGCTGCATTTTGTGATATGACCCCCCCCAAAAAATAGCTGAGCATATGTATAGCTTCATAAGGTGAACAGTTTCAACATCTTCTTATTTTTTATTTCCCTACTTAAAGGAGTTCACACCTGGTCCAAAAGGCCAGGAGGATCAGGTGCTCCATCCCCTTCCTCTTTCTTCTCTGTTCTTAGAGAAGAAGGTTTTCCACAAAACTTTTCTCCTTCTCCTTGACAAACAAGAACTGTTACACTGTTTTGTGCATATGTGTGTGCAGCCATACTCTCAGTTTCCATAGCAAAATCGGTGCCTTTTACAAAAATAATATTATATGTCAGAAAACTTATTCCAATTACCAATAAGCAATTATAATGAAATTATACCTACTTAACAACTTGTTGTTTAAAAACTGGAACATGGGGCGCCTGGGTGGCTTAGTCGGTTAAGCGTCCGACTTTCGCTTAGGTCATGATCTCGTGGTTCATGGGTTCGAGCCCCGCGTCGGGCTCTGTGCTGACTGCCAGCTCAGAGCCTGGAGCCTGTTTCAGTCTGTGACTCCCTCCCTCTCTGACCCTCCCCTGCTCGCGCTGTCTCTCTCTCTCTCTCTCCTAGAAATAAATAAATAAAAAACAAACAAAAAAATTAAAAAAAAACTGGAACATAAGATCTGGAAACGTAAAACTCTTAGAAGAAAACAGGGAGTAAATTTCTTGACAATGGCCTTGGCAATGTTCTTTTGTAATTAACACCAAAAGGAAAGACAACAAAAGCAAATATAAACAAGTGGGACTACATCCAGCTAACAAATTTCTGCACAGCAAAGGAAACCATCAGCACAATGAAAGGCAACTTACTGAATGGGAGGAAAATATTTGCAACTCATATATCTGGTAAGGGGTTAATATTAAAAATATATAAGAACACAGACAGCTCAATAGCAAAAAAAACAAACAATTTGAGTAAAAATTGGTCAAAGGATATGAATAGACATTTTTCCAAAGAAGACATCCAAATGGCCAACAGGTACATGGAAAGATGCTCAACATCACTAATCATCAAGAAATGCAAATCAAAACCTCAATGAGATGTCACCTCAAATCTATTAGGATGTCTTTTATCAACAAGACAAGAGATAACAAATGCTGGCTGGGATGTGGAGAAAGGGGAACCTTGTATACTGCTTTTGGGAATGCAAGCCGGTGCAGTCACAATGGAAAACAGTATGGAGCTTTCTCAAAAACTAAAAATAGAACTACCATATGATCTTGTAATTCCACTTTTGGGTGTACATCCAAAGGGAATGAAACCATTATTTGAAGACATATCTGTACTCCCGTGTTCACTGCAGTATTATTCACTCTGTCCATCAATGGATGAATGAATAATGAAAATGTGGTGTATATATATAAACAAGATGTGATTGAGCTTTCAACGAGAAGGAAGTCCTCCCATTTGTGACATTTGCCTTCCACGAAATTGGAGACCCTTATGCTAAGTGAAATAAACTAGAGAAATACAACATTGCATGGTATCACTTATATGTATAATAAAAAAATGATAAAGTCAAACTCATAAACAGAGAGTGGTTACCAGGAGCTGAGCAGTAGAGGGAATAAGAAGTTGCTGATAAAAAGGCACACACTTTTAGTTATAAAATGAATAAGGTCCTCAGACCTAATGCATAACATGGTGACTATCATTGATAACACTGTATTGTACAATTGAAATTTGCTAAGAGAGTAGAACTTAAGTGTGCTCATCAAAAATAAAGTAAATATGTGAGGTGATGTATGTGTTAATTTGATGGGGGAATCCTTTACAATACATATATATATATATATATATATATCAAATGATTACATTAATCACTAAATATCTTAGAATTTTAGTTGTCAATTATACCTCAATAAAGCTGAAAAAATAGTTTAATAAGATACCTTGCTTTTCACAACTTGAGAAAAAATAAAATAAAAAACTAGTAAGTTCATACTTCTGAAGGCTATCAAATAAGGAAAATTGTTTTAAAATGAGATTAATCAGCGCTGGCAAGGAAGGATATAGTGCATTGAGCACTCTCATCCACTGCTACAAATCAGTCTGACATTGAGCCGAAAAACTATTAGAAGAATTTATGTCCCATACAGAAGAAAACTGCTCAAAAAATGTTCATCTTCACATTATTTATGGAAGCTGAAACTCGGGAACAAATTCTATTCCAGTAAAGGGGAATGATTATGCTAATCATGTTATATCCATTTGAGGAAAGGTATGCATCCATTACAGTATTTATTGAAGTTTTTAATAACATGGGAAAAATGCTGAGGTCAGCATGTGTATTCTGCAGTACACTAATGATTTGATATAGAAATTAATGTGATGGAAAAAGTTTTCCATTATGAAATAATTTTGAGAAACTCAAAATTAATCTCTCACACACACAGGTTTCCTCTCCTTTTCTGGAAAATTTCTCAAAATTCTTTACATGCCATGCAAGTTATTTTTTTTTAACAAAAATTGCCTGTGTAAATATCAATAAATTTACATTCCGAAAGGAAATAAGATCACAAAAAAAGAACACTTGAAGTCATAATAATTGTCATTTAGGCAACTTTTTATAGTTTACAAAGTACTTTCTTACAAATAACTTTATTTACTTTTATAATAAACTGTTCAAGAATAAGAATGGTCAAGTCAGACTATCTGGATTTAAATCTGCCCAGGCACTTTTCTGTGTACTTTGACACTTTACTTTGTCTTTATAAAACTAAATTCCTTATCTGCAGGTTGAGAATACTAGTAATTCATGTCTTTTGTTGTGTTTTAATAATTAAATGAAGACTAAAGCTTTTAGTGGGAAGTAAATAATCCATAAGTGGTAGCAGTTATTATTATTATTATCTTCAACTACCAGCCAGACGTAGAGAATAAATGATTCTAAAAGACTTGAAATAAATGGAGCCAAGATT